CCCCAAAACCCCAAAACCCCAAAACCCCAAAACCCCAAAACCCCAAAACCCCAAAACCCCATGACACAGGTTTTAATTGAATATTTCAAATGACTAAGAGAAAGTCTCGCCATTAGTGGAGAATAAGTTGGGTCTTGGGTTTCCCTTCTCATTAGTGAAGCTCATGGGCTTGTAACCAGAATAACCTGGAAGTTTCACATTGAAGTTCTCATTCAGATTGGTTTTATTCTGCATTAAGTTCCTAGTCAAGTTGTTCTTCGTCTGAGAAAGAGCTTTGTCGTTTAGATCGGTTCTAACGAGGAAACCTCCATAACCTGGGATGTGGCTGGTTACCTTTGTAGTACCCATTGTTAGCTCACTTACTTCATTTTCGAGCTTAGTAGCGTTATGGTCAAGAACTTTTCTGGGAATATGCCCATAAGTTCCGAATTTATTCTGATTCTCGGTCTTATAAAAGCTTCTTCTAGCTACATGATGGTGCTTTGGATAGGACCAAAATGGTCTTTGGGCTTGGGAATTCGGTCTTGCCATTGCCTTCTCATTGTCCATCTTGTAATTACTCTGCCAATGCTTAGTAGTTTTATACATTTCAGTGTTCTTGGTTGCCAAAGCAGGCTCAGAAGGCGATCTAATTCCAACATTGTTGGCTCCACTCCTTTGAAGTTTTGTAGAAGTTGCACCTATATTAGAAGGAGTCTGAGATTGCTTTCCCTCTTTTGTATATTTATATAACTCGGGTTGATGGAGGAACTCATATTTCAAATTCTGCTTGCCCCCTCTGCTGACTCTTTTATAATCAGTGGGCTTGACGGTCTTGTCTAGAGTAATCTGGTGGTTTGATCCAAATCTGTTATATCCTCCCATGTAAGCACTTCCAGTAGGTTTGACCTTGTTCGCATCCTTATAATAATCTCTGGTGATTCCTGTCTGTCCTGGTTTGGTAGTGGTGACAGCTGTGACATTGAATGAGTCAAAGCCTGAGTAGCCTGCAACTCTTCCTAACATTTTAAATATTTATTTATATTCCAATTAAAAATATTTTCTTAGGGGTTTTGGGGTTTTGGGGTTTTGGGGTTTTGGGGTTTTGGGGTTTTGGGGTTTTGGGG